TTGGAATTCCAGTTTTTCCCCCCTCCCTCGCGGGAGTAGGGGGGCGAAGGGAGAGAGAGAGGGATTTCGAGGGGGAGGTAGGTAGGAGGGGGTTTAAATCGACTAATCGAAAAATTTCAATTATCGTTCGATACGTTTATTTATAAACAAAAAACAAAGAAAAAAATGGAGCGTAATATTTATTTTTGCGGTTCGATTTTTGTTTTCTTTTTTTTCCCCCGGGGGGAAGGAGGGGAAGCGGGAGGGGTCACGTAACGATCGTCATTATTATTAATTATGATAATGATGATAATTTTTTTTTTTACCGCCGTTTTTTACCGCCGGTTTAAACCGCCGACGGAATTTATTATCCCATTTAAAAAAAAAAAAAATAGGTAAATTTTGTAACCGTGTTAAAACCGAATAGAAAATTTATTTTTATTTATTTATATCGATCGATTAATCGATTTAAAGGAAGGGAGGGGTGAGGGGAAGGAGGAGGAGGGGTGGGACTGGGAGTGGGAGGGAAAAAATTAATCCAGTGCGACGGCGGAATAAAAATTAATAATGATAATAATAACGTTAATGGATTTTTTATTTTTATTTTTTTGTTTTTCGAAAGGCGCACGTGCGTGTGTGTGCGTGTGAATGCGTGTGTGACAGTAGCAGAAGAAATAGTGACTGGAAAATGCGGGTTAAACGTGACAAATGATAAATGATGAATGACGTTTTAAACATCTCGAAATTTTTAAAAAAAAAAAAAAAGCAAATCATCAAAAAAGTAGACATTACCATAACCGGTTTAATATAAAAAAAAATATTTTTGTTAATTAATTTTTTTTTTAATAAATAAATAAATAAATAATCGTCACGTGTTTTGCAATCCGTTGGTATATATATATAAAATGTTACCATTTTTTTTTCTAGACGATTCTATAAATAAAACAAACGTTTGTTTGTTTGTTTGTTTGTAGGATGTTTGTAGGAAAGACGATTTGTTTTCTTATATTATACGTTGAATGTTTTATTATTTTCGTTACAATACTTTCTATTTAATTTGTAAAAAAAAAGCAGACGATAAAAATAGGAAAAGGAAAAAGGGGGAGGGGAGGGAAAGGGGGGGGGAAAAAAAAATGAAAATTTGCAAGTCACAGTACTTCTACTACTACTACCTACTACTTAATTGAACGGAGGTGAACAAAAAAAAAAAAAAAAATTTTGACCGTCGTAGATTTGCTCTAATTGTGATGATGATGATGATGATGATGATGATGATTTACAAAGAATTTTAAATTCTATCTCGACTCCCCGTTCTTTTTAAATTATTATTATTATTATTATTATTATTATTATTATTATTATTATTATTATTATTATTATTATTATTATTATTATGAAAAAAAAAATATATAACTAATCGTTTTTGTATATATGTTTGATTTTAAAAACTTGAACAAACGAAAAAAATCTTACAGTTATTTTTTTTTTTAAAATTTATTGGTTGTTGTTGTTGTTGTTGTAAACGAGAAATAAATCGGGCAAGCGCAAGTTTTAAAAAATTATATACGTTCACCGAACCGTTAAAACAAAAAAATTAATTGTTTATATATAAATATTGTTTATAAATTACGTAACGTAAACATAAAAAAAAACAGTTAACGGGTTGTTTTAGTAAATGGAAAATGATAATAATATTGTAAGACAAAAGAAATGACAACAACAACAACAATAACATAAACATAAATATGTTTAATAATAATAAACATGGTTGATAAATTAGTAGGTGTCAACTCGGTGTAATGCTACCAGGTATCAAAAAAAATTTTCAATGCCCGTCATTCATTATTACACGACCAATTTTATCCTTTATTATTATTATTAATCATTTTTGATTTAAGGTTTTATTAAGGTACTTGTTGTTAAAGCATTTATTCCAGGTTTCTACCCGACGACGAGTCCTTAGGGATAAATCCTAGGATTTCGTTGGTGTTATTTATAGATTATTTTCCGTAGAATGTGGGCGGGCCCACACAGTGCGATTTCCTGGTTGGTTTCTTATTTTAAATTTATTCCCATTGAATGTGGTGGCATGGGTCCCAGTACTGCTGCTCCCACGGGAATTGGAATAGTTTCTCTCTTCACTCCCCACATCCTGGCTATTTCAATCTCTTTTTTTTGGTGTCTTTTTCCGCCGGTACGGATACCTCAATTACCTTTCACCATTTTTCCGCATTCTGGATGATATCCGGTTTGTTGGCTTGCACAGTTCTGTCGGTTTGGATTTGTTGATCGTACCGTGCCTGAACCTGCTGTCGTAACCGGGTTTGAAAATGTACCACTCCTCGGGTAATCCATCCAATCCATATTCGCGACGGATATTCCAGGGGAGATTATTATTATTATTATTATGGTCACTCTTAAACACGACAAGGCTCTTATTCGTCGGAATTTTTAAGCATTTATTCCAGGTTTCTACCCGAGGACGATTCCTTAGGGATAAATTTGTGCTATTTATATAATATTTTCCGAAGAATGTGGGCCGTCCCATTATTATTATTATCATTATTATTATTATTATTATTATTATTGTTGTTGTTGTTTGTTTGTTTGTTTGTTTGTTTTATTTATAAATAAAAAAATTTGTTTTCGGGCGTGAAAAAATAATAATAAAAAAAAAAAAAAATGGTTAAAAAAATTCCGTTGAAATATCGTTACAGATTTCACGGTCTCTGATTGGTCAATTCAATTTCATTCGATTCCTATTTCCGGTGGCGGTTTATAGCAGACGACGGAGATTCGGGAAAAACAAAAAATTCCGCTGTTGGCGTTTCGTCATGAACGAGAGCGTGGAAACGAATGGAATTTTGATTTCTTTTTTTTTTTATTTATTATTTTAATTTATTTATTTAAATTATTTATTTAAGGTACGTAAATATGATTATTAAATTAATAAATAACATTTATTTATACATTTTTAATAAATTGTAATAAAGGAAAAGGGGTCGAAACGTCAAGTTTTTTTTTGCAAAACGGATGATGTAAATGGATATGAGATTTAGTGCATTGGCTTAAGCCATTTTTTTTTTTTTTTTTTTTTTTTTTTTTATTATGGAATTTTAAACAATTGATGTTAAAAACTATTTTTTATCCGTTTTTTTAAAAGTTTTT